TCCAGCCTGGCTGAGCCATATATGTTCTTTGGGCTGCTTGAGTTCTGAGTCCTAATGCCTTTGCTAGCCACCTCTGCTTGTGAGCCTTAATCGCCCCTGTACAGGCTCTATGGGTGTAGGCCATGGAGAGTTCCCCAGACTCATTCTGTAGGGGCTTGCCTGCTGCTCTTTTTGCCGCTTGGTCTGCCTTCTCATTCCCCTCTATGCCATAGTGCCCAGGGACCCATTGCATAGTGGTTTGTCGGCCTCGTGTCTCTAGGGCCTTGGCTGCTTTGTGGGCTCGCAGTACTAGGCCTTGACCTGAGCCTATCCCCCGGTGCTGGATCTATATGAACTCATATATAGGTCTGAGTCCTGTATATATTTCGTGCTACAGAAGTAAATTCTAGCGCCATGCTTAGCTGTGCCAGAATAATGGCCGTCACTGAAGCAAGCTCAGCTCAATTGCCATCCGGGGTGAAAGCTTTCACCATCGAGGATCTTCAAATACTCGCCTGCGGCACGGTCAGCACTCATAACGACTCCTTCTAGACAAGAATGCATTTTCCAAAGCAAAGTGAACGGAGAATCCAAGCTTACTTGCAACATCCCATCTCCTCGCCAAAATCTCCAGTGCATTTCTCATATCCATCACAGTCTGCACAAACTCCACTTTCCCAATCTGACGAATGTAGCCGATGAAGAGCATGGCGGCTTCATAGAGACAATCCGTCGTTAGGGGGCTGATTCTCGACAGATCTCCCCCCGATTCAGAAGCCCCCACTATTCTGTTTGCAAATCGATGGACGGCCATGCAAACATCTTTGATGTTCGATATGGCAATGTTCTGCATTTCAAGTTGTTCCGGAATGCCCACCCCGCTGATATCGTCCGCATCTGCACACATGTAGGCGTCGTACAGTGTGAGCTGGGCACTGTAGCAAATCGCCATGCTGGTGAAGAGGGCCGCCTCGTGAGTAGCATCATAGGACTCTCCCGTTATCTTGTCAAACTCATAAGAAACTGCGAGATTGAACGCGTTTATGGTACGATGAAGTTGTATAGCTTCTCGATAGCGGAATGTCGCATCTTCGTGCTTTTCATTAATGTGGCGTAGGATACGCGAGAGAAGGTGCGATGCCTGGCATGTACGAGCAAATGGTGACGCAGGAACTTCGGTGCAGGTTGACACTGCCAGAGGCTGGATGACTATGGGCTCCTGATTTTTTTTTCTCTTACTTAGTCAAGAGTTTGCCCCAGTGTGCTTGACAGACGTACCCCTTTCTCCCAGCTGTCCTCGTCCATGGGCAGAAGGTCATCGGGTTTTGCATCGTCGCACGCAAATGGACGGTTGCCCGCACCGAGATTGACGTATCTGATAAATTAGGAATGAAGAAATTATAATCGCACAGAGAAAGACATTCGAAGTCTTACCTGTCTAATACTATAATAGCCCAGCATGCTCGACGCCTCTCCTCGGCCTCTGTCCAGGAGCCTACGAGTTTCGTAAGTAAGCATGTGATGAATCGCAATTTGATCGAGAAAATCTACCTGGGATGGAAAGCATCTGAGGTGCTTCCTTTCTGTCATGAATGCCCATGAGATGACACAACCGTGCACAATGACCAGCCGTGAGATATGCAGCTGGGTAGATAGCATTAGCGACCTCATACAGTCCGATCAACAAGGATGCCTGTAGCAGTCTGAGAGAGAAAACATTATTCCTCTCCACATATGAACAGCAACGCTTTGCCAGTTCATAAAGATCAGCACCACTGTCCTTCCTGGGTCGACAATGCATCTGCATTGCAATTAGCAACAGAACCAGATCGGCATCTGGCCTGTCTGGTGAGTTGGAAAGTTGCTGGTATAGTCGAAGTCTAGACACTTTAAAAAAAAATCCATATTAGCTATTTCCAGTTGGAACAGTACCACGTAATTGAAGTCTCTCTCGAACCTATTGGGAAGAAGACATGGATCGAGGAGAAAAACAGGTCAACCTCATGTTGCACCTGTTCCCTGCTTCTGACAGACAAGCAAAACTCGTCCGGAAGGCCAATGTGTGGTTTTTGTATTACACCCCGCCGTCGATGGAAGGTATACGAATCCAGGAAAAACAAGGCGGGAAAGGTGTTCTGATTCGACCGTCAACCTGGCGCTGGCGAATAACGAAACCCCAGAAGGATAGCTTCAAGGATAGCTTGATAGCTTCATGGGCCTCCCTCACCTTCTGCTGGGTATAGCTCTCAACATCATTGGCGGTGGGATCGGCGCTCTTGGTAGGATAGTTACAGGGCCTTTTGTTCTTGCGGCACAGCAGACACGCAGGGAGTTCTCGGGAACATTTCCGTTTCTGCTGGCGGCATGTAAAGCAAGCCTGCAGTGCTAGATTTTCTGACGAGTCAGACATTTACAGAAAGGTGTTCTCAGAGTTGACAAACAAAGAGCGATTTAAATCTAGTCGTTAAACGAAGTTACGCAAATGGAGGTCAATGATGACATGTTTGTCCTGTTTGCATTGCGTCCAGATATGTAAGTCAGAAAAATAACAATGACAGTAATTATCCCATGTTTCAGGATCACCAGTTACTTCGTTTCCAGAATTATTATTGTCTCAGCACTTGATCTACGCGACGTCCAGCTTGCCCTTTTTCCTCAACTCCTCCACTGTCCAGGTCCACAACTTCTCAGCTAACACTGGGTCCCTTGCCGCCTGACTGGGGGTTCCAATCTTGGCATATGGCACAACATAACTCCCAGAGTCTTGTTGCTTGAATTCAGGGCTGGCGACGGCAAACAAGGAGGACAATGCGCCCTTGGCCTGCTCGTCCAGGACTCCCAGACATCGGAATACCGACGTGAGGGCACGTAGAACGATCGGCGGTCCATTGGCGGTCGCTTGCTTGTTGAGATCGCTAAAACACGGTCAGTAAGGTAAAATGGAATATTACACGCAGGGTCAGGTTGCTACATACGTATCAATATGACCCGGATGGACAGCTGCGACCCAAATTTCACCACCTTCCTCTCCATCCGCCCCTGGCCCATACCGTTTATGGAGCTCTTTGGCATGCAGAATGTTGGCAAGCTTTGATTGGCCATACCGGGTCATCGAAGAACTGGACTCAAGGTCGATGTTGTCAAAATCAATGCCCTTTTTGTTCGTAAACAAGGCGTGGCCATCGGATGTCACATTCACTATGCGTACAGCGCCGGGACCAGCAGAACGGGCCGTGGAAAGCAGGAGAGGAAGGAGGTGGTAAGTGAGGAGCCAGTGGGAAAGGTAATTCGTCTTCCCGGATGTCAGCATAATATGGTCATTACTCGGGATGCGATCCAGGAACGAGTCCAACCTGAAACTGGACCTCATATCCGTCATCCGTCTTGGAGAAAGGAACCCCCATGATTCCGGCATTGTTAACTAGACCATGGAGGACGGATTCCTTGCTAGAAAACGAATATTAGCTGCCACGAATAATAGGTGCAAAGAGAACAATTGAAGATAACGGACCTGCGAAGATCTCTCGCCGCCGCGACGACGCTCTCCAACGTCGTCAGATCCATTCCGAGAAAGCGTATATCTGCAGTGGGAAGTTCTTTCTTGATCTCCTGGATCGCTGCGAGAGCTTTCGACTCGTTCCTCGCGCCCATGTATACCGTGGCGCCATGGCTAGCCAGGCCGATGACGGTGGCCTTACCACTGCCCTTGCTGTAAGCAAATTGGTCAGCGTGAGTTGAAAATATGGCGACTCACATGCCGGCATTTCCGCCTGTGACGAGAAACACTTTGCCTTTCAAGTCAGGCAAGGAGTCGGCAGAGAATTTGGAACTAGGCATGATTTATTCAAAGTGAGAGAGGTAAGCAATGTTACCAAGTCGGCGTGGGAAGCGTGCACGGGAAGGGAAAGAAAGAAAAAAGAGGAGATAAATCGGACTTGACATCATGGTCCTGCAAGGCTTTATATATAACAACGAGCCATATGACCGCTTAGAAATATTATCTCTCCCATCAACTGCGGCCGCAAAGGCTCGTCGGATGCGGTGCCCTATGTACTCCGCTCCGCTAGCGTCCGCATGTCCGCCCGCGGAAGTCCGCATCTGGCGGAGCCCAGGTCCGTCCGATCGCCGATAGATAAGCCTCGAAATTTCACTCCAATTTTCAGGCTTGAAAAATGACCCTCAAACATTGAAAAATAGTGAAAAGGGCTTGAAATAAGAATTACTGTAGCAGGAAAATATCTTTTATCTATACCAATTCCTGGAACATGGCCTTTTTGTGTGTGAAATGCACTGTAAGGGCTGAAATTTTCGGAAATTTCAGAAATTTCAGGTGCATTGAAATTTCACTCCCACTTTCAGCGTTGAAAAATGGCCCACAACTGCTGAAAAGCAGTGAAAAAAGCTTGAAATAAGAATTGCTATAGCAGGAAAATATCTTTCATCTACATAAATTCTTGGAAAATGCACTTGCGTGTGTGAAATGCGCCGTAAGGGCTGAGATTTCGGAAATTTCAGGTGCATGGAAATTTACCGCCTGGTTTCATCGCTGAGAGAACACATTGTATTCATTGGAAGCTTGAAATAAGAATTGCTATAGCAAAAAATACTTCCAGCTACAGAAAATGCCTAGAAAACGGTCTTTTAAATTGTGAAATGTGACTGCGAAAATCAGAGAGCATAAAATTTCAGGTTTTCTATTTTTGCGCCTAATTCCATTCTACTACCTAAATTGCTCGGAAGGTACTTGGAGAGTCAGCTACCATTGGTATATACAGCGTATACTATACCTTCAGTAGGTGTGCCTCGGACTGAACAGTCTCATTCGTGCTTATCTTTCTTTGACCGGAGGGGAGAGGCCTAGGCCCTTGTTATTACTTCCGTTTTTCTTGGTCAGTCAGTCAGTCTGCTGTAAAGAGTCAGCATATATGTAGCAACGACGTTTTCGAACTACCGGGTAGTTCAACTTGATCCTTCGAGAACGAAACGACAAATTCAGAAACCAACCGACGAGTCTGTCAGAACCTGCACGTAACAGAAGTATCGTAATAACAATAAATAACAAATATTATATCAAGCATCATAATGGAAAGACTTAGGTAGATACCTTATTAAGAATGAGTGTCATTTTATGTTCAATCTGGGGTAATTATGCCATCTTATCTAGCATTCATCAATGGTCTCCTAGGAATATGGCATTTTGTATGACGCATATATCTTTTACTCTTTAGTAGTATCTTCTCGTTCCCCTTCCATTACTAACTATTATATAATTATAGGAAGGATGGGGAGTATCATCAATTATTCTTACCTCTTTTTTTCTCTGTCTTTATTCTGGACTGAGTTTCTATCCTCAACCTTCCGCTTACAGAACAGCCCCTCCACTCTTTCCTTTCTCCATAATCCACAACAAGCCTTTAACGACTCGCTCCGCTCGTCTAGGCTTGAAGGGTAAAAAGCACCTAGGCTTACTAATGCCTATTTAAAATGCTCCAGACCTTCGGCCCTCCGCATACCTGTAATAGAAGCCTATATAAAGCCTATAGGGTGTCAGCATAAAGCCTATAGGGAAGCCTATAAGGGTTCCAGCATAAGGCTTGTAGGGGTTCCAGTGTAAAGCCTGTAAGAGTGCCAGTGTGAAGCCTATAAGGGTGCCAGTATAAGGCTTGTAGGGGTTCCAGCGTGAGCCTCCAGGGGTGCCATACAAAAGGTGTATAGAAGCAGGCCGTAGCGGGCCGTAGGAGCGGAAAGATGCTTACATAATAACTAACTAGTTAACGTATTTCCCGGCTGTTTCGATCACCCGGTTGCTCCGATCACTAGAATACCTGTGACGAACCCAAATTCATTCCCTAGTAGATCTATCCTGAAGGTATGGAGCGGTTCAATACTAGAAGACTAGGTTAGGGGGAAAAAGAAGAAGCCAGGAGATGAGGCCCCAAGAGGGGGTCATAGGCCTGGTATTCTGCCGGTCCATTCCTTCACCGCCTACCACACCGCTCACATGATCCCGAGTATCAGCGCCGTCACATCACCCCCCCGGTCAAAAAGAGCCTGTCCTCAGGCGATGTCGTTGAGAATTCTGGCCTGACCAATCAGGAAGCTGCATCGCGGGCGGTCCATAAGCGTCTGTATTGAGCCTAGATACAGCACGTGTTAACGGCGCATTCTTATTGGTCTGATC